ATCTCCTGCTGGGGAGGCCGCCTGGGTTCACTTGTCAGCTGCCTTCCCTTCCAACAAAGGCCTCCTCCCAGACCTCTCGTGTAGACTTTGGGGAAACGAGGGGACCTGAGGCCAGAGGCTGGGCCAGGCCGGTCACCCTGAGCAGGCAGCTGTGTGGGCAGGGGATGTCTTCCAGGAGGCAGCTTTTAGCAATGAAAATGGCCGGTAGGTAGTGACCTCCCCATCACTGGAGCATCCCAGGTTGGTAGGCACTGCATACTCCCTGGTGAGGAAATTCAAGACGAATGATGACTGAGTCCCTGCAGCAGCAGCAGTAGCATCCTTGGCATCATTGTGACCGCCACTGACTGGACGCCCGTTGTGTCAGACACAGTAAGATATGATACAACTGCCACTGCTGCTAATAAAAATGGCAGCTCCTGTGCCTTCAGCCCTGGTATGGCTGATCTTCACTGGCTCCCCACAGAACCCTGTGAAGCAGGCACTACTGTTAGGCCCATTTGTGGATGAGGAAACTGAGGCCCAGAGAGGTGCAGTGACTTGTGCACAGCCCAATGGCAGAAAGATTTGGGCTCTGCCTGTCTGCTGAGTCTGTGGCCTGCCCACCTGGGAGCTGGCCTCCTGGGGCCGGGCCTGCAGGGAGCAAAGCCCCAGGCAGGGCAGCTTCTCCCAGCCCCACTCTCCTTCCTGGGCCCTTCCTGGGCCCTTCCTGCTCTGGGCAACCCTGGCAGTACCATGGCCAACGTGGGTGCCCCCTCCTGGCTGCGCCCTGGCTCTGCAGGGCCATGCTCCCTCGCGCCGGTCGGAGGAGGGTGGACTGTGAGCCTCAAACTTCAATTTGGACCGCCCCCCTTTGCTACCTGCCCCTGCTAGGGAAAAGGTCTCGCCCCAGCTGTCCCTACTTCCTGTCACCAAAATAAGGCCTTTGGCTGCACTGTTCTTGTGGGGTCTGGGTGACTGTGGCCTGCGGCTGAGAATGTCTCCAAAGGCAAAGCTGGGGGCCAGAGTTTGAGGCATAGACCTGCTACTGACTAGCTGTGTGACGCTGGACAAGATTCTCAACCTCTCTGAGCACTGTCGGATGGGAGCCTTCAGAACTGCAGAGATTCCAGGAGGGCTCCTTTACCCAGTTAGAAGGCTCTCCTCATCCCTCTCCCTCCCTTCCTTTCTCTCTTCCTCGTCTTCTCCACCCCCACCCCCTCCATCTCTCTGGCGTGGATACTGTTGTGATCTTCCTTTTCAAGAGGAGGCGGGTGAGGCTCAGAGAGGTGGAATTATGGGCCCAGCCAGGAGTTTCTGACTTTAGAATCCGGACTTTGAAGAGCTGCCTCCACCCTGCTTCCTCTTTTCCTCCTCTCTCCTCACTCCCCCTCTGCATCTCACCCTTCAGCTCCTTCCACAGGAAATGTCCCAAATCCTCCATCGGCTTTGCTCCCTGTCCCCTGCCACCAGCCAGGCCAAGACCTCATCATTTCTGGCCACAGGACTGCAGCAGCCTCCTTGCCTCCTCCCAGGTCACCGGGCCCCCAGCCCCATTTTCTGCAGTTCAGCCTGCACACTGGGTGGAGCAGGCAATGTGAGCCTTTTGAAATGTAAACCAGATCATATCACATCTCTCCTTGAAGCTTCCCATTGTGAGTGGAATTAATCTAAACTCTCTTCCCCACCCTGGAGTCCCTGTGTTATCCAATCCCAGCTGCCTTCATTTCCCCCTTTTTGCTCATAAAGCTGTAGTCTCATGGCTTCTTTCAGTTTCCTGAACATGCCAACCTTGCTCCTGCCCCAGGGCCTTTGCACTGGCCGCTCCTGTGCTGTTTTACGCCTGCCTCCTGTTCCTTCTTAAGTCTTAATTCAGACCACACCCCCTCAGACCGCACTACCTAACATTACCTCCCTCACCCACTCTCCACCATGTTACTCCATTTTTTTTCATGGCCCCTGTCAGTCTCTGGAGATCATTTATTTAGACATTAGCTCAGTTTTTTTTTTTTTTTTT